GAAGCTCTCGTTCATAGTAACGATTCTAAGCTAATAAAATGGCCTATGGTTTCACACAAGCAAGTTCAGAAACAAGGAAAACACCACTCCACGAGCACCCACTGAGGTTTCATCCCACCGTGCCCTTTGTGAAGCCTGTGTGGTGCCGTTCATTTTGATTCATGAAAAAGACAATCTCTCCCTCTGATTTGTGTCCCTGTTCTGTACCCTGGAATCAAATGCCTAGCCCTCTGGGGGCCCATTTCCTGTAAGGCCTGGAATATACTGCGGCTTTGCCCTCCCCAGCAAGTGAGTACCTGGGCATCTGCCGGAAGTGCAGAAACTTGGCCCCACCCAGACCTCGTGGGCATCTGCCTGTCGGCAGCATCCCAGTGATGCACAGGCTCATTTGCAGCCATGTGCACCCCAGCACCTCTGAGAACAGCTCAGAGAGGCTACCTTCACTTCTGGCTCCCTCCTGGAAATTCTGGTGCTGAGTCTCGCGTGGGGCCCCAGGATGCAGATTTCTGACTCATTCTCAGTGCCGCCAACTCCGCTGGTCCCCGAACTGCGTTTTGAGCAGCTCCACTCAAAGGGGAAGTGTGCTTGGCCACAGCTTGCTCTTGTGTGTGCCACCACTCACAGGACTCATAGACCTGGCAGGCCCTGTGGCTCGTTTTTCAGATGGGAAGTGAATATCCAAGGACAGCGGATGAGTCTGGAGAGAGGAGAGAGATGTATGTTGCGGTCACAAACTTCCCCGTCTTCGCAGTTTCCCAACTCATGTGTCACATCCATCCTGAGTTGTCCCAGGGCTGTCCCCACTCAGGGGCCCAGGCAAAACAGGGTGCCCCCCCACCTGTGACCCCACGCTTCCACAGAGAATCCACACATGCCAGTAACAGCAGCCTCTTCACATCCTGACGCATCAGCTAGGACTGTCCTGTGGCCAGCCCAACTAATTGCAAGGGAAGCCAGAAGGACTTCCATTGTGCCCAGGAGGGAGAGGGACGTGGGCAGAGTAACCACTGGAAACTTCTGCCACAGAGGGGAGGTCCAAGGCTCCCGGCACTTTCAGTGTAGACCAGGCCCAGCATCCTCAGCTCTGGAGCCCCAGTCACTACCCCTCTCTGGCCCCTGGCCACCTCACCTGAGCCTGAGCCACGCTCCCTGGAGGTCCAAGGGCATGTGAGTCATTCTCTCCATCACTACATGTGTGTTGAGAACCTCTGTGTCAGGCCCTAGACGAATGTGGTGCCCGTCTTCTCAGAGTTCACAGTCAAGTTAGGGGAACCGACACTACACAAAAATTGCAGAAAACAATACTATAGGTTCGGGTGTGAGGAAGGCTGTGGAAAAAAAGGACTGACCGAGGAGGCTTCGCCCACCAGGGAAGTCTGGGAGCCCTCCCTCAGCACAGGGAGGAGGCCAGGGAGCACAGGGGGAAGCGGTCAGAGCACAGGGGAGGCTCTGAGGGAGGAAGGAGATGGGCCCCTGAGGAGCCAGGGTTGGCAAGAACCGGGCCCTGCGGGGTTTCCTGTGTCACAGTCACAGTCACAGGGGCCTGCAGGATTTACAAAGTCACAGTCACGCTTTGCATTCAGAAGCTCTAAGAGGGCTTTAAGCAAGGGAGTGACATCGATTTACAGCTTAATAATGACAGTAGGCCAGGCTCGGTGGCTCAGCCTGTCATCCCAGCACTTTGGGAGGCCGAGGTGAGCAGATTGCCTGAACCCACAGGTTCGAGACCAGCCAAGGCAACTTGGCATGACCCCGTCTCTACAATAAATCAAAAATTAGCTGGGTGTGGTAGTGCGTGCCTGTAGTTCCAGCTACTTGGAAGGCTGAGGTGGTAGGATTGCTGGAACCCAGCAGACTGATGCTGGCACGGCCGTGAGTGTGCTACTGCACTCCAGCCTGGGTGACGAAGTGAGACTCCAACTCAAAAAAAAAGAAAAAATTACAGTCACTACTATTCACTGAATATGCACTTCCACATCTTTCCACGTAACCCTCAGTTATCCCCTAAGACAGGTTCTGTCTTGTTACTATCCTCATTTCCCAGAAGGGAAAACTGCAGCAAAGAAAGATGAAATAAGTTGCACAGGTTGCATTGCTGGGACAGCTTAAAGCCGGGGTCCCAGCCTCAAGCCCACCCTCTTTCCCTTTGCTGCAGAATGTTCTCTCGGAGCCATGATGAAGAAGGTCTGGAGAGAGCAAGAGCAGAGGAAGGGAGCCAGCAGGAAGAGACAGTTTAGGCTGTGGCGTGGCAGGAGAGGGGAAGGAGGAGGAAGGTTTCAGATCACTACTTTGGGCCGGGCGCAGTGGCTCACGCCTGTACTCTCAACACTTTGGGAGGCCGAGGCAAGAGGATTGCTTGAGCCCAGGAGTTCAAGACCAGCCTGGGCAACATAGCAAGACATCTCTACCCAAAAAAAATTGCCAGATGTGGTGGTGTGCATCTGTAGTCTCAGCTACTCAGGCTGAGGCAGGAGGACTGCCTGAGCTCAGGAGGTCGGGTCTGTGGTGAGCCGTAATCATGCCGCTTCACTCCAGCCTGGGTGATAGAGTTAGACCCTGACTCAAAAAAAGTGAAAAGAAAAGGAAAAAAATGTGTAGCCAAAGAAAGCATCACTGCCTTAGATGCAGCCTCCAGTCACCTGTCTTTCCAGTGGGAAAGACAATTTTCTAGCCACTGAAGTGGACATATGTGATCTCATCCCTGGAACCTCCCAGGGCTAGTGCAGATGGACATTCCCATTGCAGGAAGGATGTCACACCAGAACAAGGGGACAGCAGAGACCCCCTGAGAAAACAAAGCCAGCCGGGCATCCTCTGCTGTTACTGCAGGGGCTTCATGGGAGGGGTTGAAAAAAATCCATGTTGAGGTCAGAAGAAATAATTTCTTCCGCAATGGCAAGTATAATCACAAAGGTTGTCAGGCCCAAAATAGTACTCCATGAATTTTCAGCAAGGGAACTCAATGAATAGGAACCAAGCTCTCAAGTTCGAGCGCCATGTGGACCCAGTTTGCTTTGCTGTGTTTTGTCGCTGTTCATTTCTCCCACCAATCACCAGCAGCCATTTTGCAAAGTTATCATTACTACTGTTTAAAAAAAAAAAAAAGGCATTGCTCATTTTAGAAAGCTGTCTGTCAAAAACGCTTAAAATAAAAGCAGTCTTGGCACTTGAAGGAATAAGTACCATTTATCCTGAAAGTCATTTGGGTAAGAATTTCTCAGCAATGTTGGCTACATAAACTGTTGGTGTATTTGCAAGAAAGCTAGTGCAGAGTTGTTTGTGGTGCATGGCTGGCCTTTGGTGAGTGGGCATTTTAAAATTTATTTCTTCATTCAACAAATAAGTATTGAGCACCTGCTGTATACCAGGAGGCATCCTAGGTTTTGGGGAGGCAGCATGCACCAGTCACTGCCCCATTGAGCTGATCGTCTCGTGGGGGTCCATCACCAACCACCCAGCAGGCCACAGAAGTCCAGTGGGAAAGAGCCAGGGCCAGGGTGCTTCCTCAGTTGGTACCAACCTTACACCGTGCATCTTATTAGGGCCCCCATTTTACCAGGGGAAACTGAGGCTTAGCTTCCAGAAGGGACCAGGGAGCCAGACTGCAGCTTGACTGCCTGTGGAACCTGTGTCCTTTGGCTTTGGGGGGCAGCCTGTCCAGCTGCAGGTATGGACACGCAGCTGGGCCAACTTCCAGATCATTTGCAGCTCACTGTGTGGGCCTGGCACAGCTCTGTGGCCGCCACCTGGCTAGCTTGCCCTGCAGCATAGGTCCCCAACTCACCCCGCAGTGTTCTGGTGGTGGCTGGAATTCTGACAGGTCTACACAAGTTAGACCTGTGTTGATTCTGCTTCTCAGACCTAATGACTTTATGTGGAGCATTTTGTTTCTTTTTTTTTGAGTTGGAGTCTTACTCAGTCGCCCAGACTGGAGTGCAGTGGCCGCTCCCG